AGCTAAACTTGGGTTAAACGTGTTTGACTAATACAGAGGAGCTCTACTGGTAGAGCCAGAAGAAAGGCTGTGAAACAAGCAAGGGAAAACACATTTTTATTGCTAAGTATTTAACAAGGTCAACCTCCTCTGTAAATGCAGGAAAAAAGATCCCACAGCAGACTCTAAACACAGCTGGGGATTACACCAATTCATTAGCAGGTATATCTTGTAATTACAGCCTTGGACATTAGTCCCCATACAGCTGAGCAGGCAACAGCTGCTGCATTTTGCCATATCCTCAGGATCAAGCTCACTGTTTTCTAGTCAGCTTGGCTTAATGCAATCCCACCACACTAGCTTCAGCTGAAAGCAAGGGTATTCAGTTGTCTCAAAGGATGCTCCTGACTCCTCGCAGCTCAAATCCAAAGAGAAACCGGCTTCTACATTTTATGGGATTTGTTCCTCTGCTCCTGCTGTGTCAAGGAACTGTAGGATCAACAACTCATCCTGTCAGCTCCATCTCTGAAAAAGATCTCACATTAATTTAGTGTAAAGGTGACACTGGTGAAGAGAATAAAACGAGACTTTGAATCCCTCCTTCCAGAAGGCTAATGGTAAAAAGTTGGTAGCAATGCAACTTTGGCACCTTTCCAGCTATAACACTTCGAGCATTGCCCATGACTGTGTCCCAGACATACTTTGTGATTCACGATGGCTCAGTACAAACCAAAAAGAAAACAGAAGTCGCCAGCACTACTGGCACTCAGCTGTTTTGAGGCTTTTTTTCTTCCTTCCCTGCCAACAAAACAAATAATGAAATATCAGAACTGCAACTCAAGTGGTAACGTCCACGAGTAGGAAATCTGGTGGAGGCCGGTGGTGTGATGGAGTTCCTCAGGAAATTAACTCAATTAAAGAATGCAGGCAATAATAAAATGAAGAATACGTTGACTGAGATGAATATAATGGAATACCGTGATGTTGCTGAACATCAGTGTTGGTTTTTGTCATCCAAGTGCAACCTAAGGGTATCCAGGAAAAAGGAAGTAAAAACAGTGGTTAACCATGCTTGTATGAACTATTCCCATCATAATAGTATTAATGTTACATTACGAGGTTCAAAAGTATGATTAATATCTTGCCGGGTTAGAAAATGCTAAGACATTGCACAAGTCTTGCTGCTGCTGCATATGAGTAAATAATTTCTGAAAGTGGAATCCAAGAAATTCAGTGGAAATATTTCCAATTTGAAATAAAACATGCATGCAGAAGAAAGGCACTTAAATTAACGAAGGCTGCTTCTCAAGTTCAAAAGCATTAAGTTGCAGGCTACTGTCTAACTGTCTAGCTGCTAACACCGCATTATTCTATTAAGGTTTCTTCTTATTATTACTCCTACTACTACTACAGTTTGGTTACACTATAAAATAAGATCTCTTGGGCTCCTTAGATTCAGACGTTTACATCTACCCTTGTACTGAAACTCTTTCATGAGATTATTGTTTCTCCTGTCAGTTCAATGGAAAGCAATGATAAAGTTATAGCAATGTACATGTCCTTGTCAAATAATGCTTTCAAAGGGTTGGAAGCACATTCGTGGAAAAAAAAGCAATGCTTAACTGATTTCCTGGATTTAGGAGAGAATGTCTATCAAACAGCTTGCACTTAACTGGTCAGACCTTCAAAATAATTCAGTAATGAAATAAACCCATTTCTTCCAACAAGAGCTGACAGGTTTGTATCAGGCAGCTGTGTGATACAACCTTTGCTGATAGGACAGTATCTAACTGGATTTCCTCTTACTCGAACTTAAAATGGGAATGTAACCAAAAAACAATCATGTCACTCATCTTACTATCACAGTTAAACTGCGAGCCTTAAAATTTGTCAATATATGCAACAATGCAGAATAAATTACGTTAACCGGGGAAAAACATTATTTTTTGATCCATTCCAAGACAAACTTCTACACGCGTAAAGTTAGTGCACTGAGACTCTTCTGGGATATATTTTCTATATTCTGTAATTCTGGTACATTCCAGTATGAAGAACACTGTTTATTACTAGAAGGTTCAAATACCTTTGGATCTCTTTACCACAGCTGATAGCACATAAGTGGATCACATTACAGGATCCAGACGTGAAAGCATAAGCTTTTTATAAACATACTGTACTTCTCTTTCTCTGTATCAAAGGTATTAACTTGACCACTATTAACGTTAATCTCATTTGAACTCAGTGCATTTGTATTTTGCCACCCAAAACTGACTTCTCTGTATTTCCTTCAGACACACTTTCACCTTCCTTTTGCCTTTTTTTTTTAAATGTATTTATTTATTTTATTTTGGTTCAGGGACTCTCTCTTTTGAATACTTCAGATTATATTTCCCAACAGTTCTGGCATTGGCCTCACTCTGCTCTCACTGGAATCGGTGAGCTTTATTACTGGCTTGCATTAAGATTGTCGTAAGAAACAACTGTCTTTGCTGCCCTAATCTGTCACTCTTCAGAGATACTCTGCTTTGTGTTACTGCCATTTCTAACCTGTTTTCTCTTGGAAAATGAATAAGTAAATGCATATCTCCACCTATTGTTAAATGTCATTGCTAAGCAAACCTTTCGTCCTTTGCTAAAGTTGCTTATCTCTAAAGTTATTTATTTAACTCTAACTTTATTGTTTATCTCTGTGGAACATATTGGGATAAGCTGGTATACCAAATCTTAGAGAAAATACAACAATATTGGATTCTGTGGCACCTGGAGGACACACAGCTGTCAGTCAGTTGTCAACCCAGAATCTGAGCAGGGTTTTCCATTATAAATTCAGATTATTATTCTCAATGTTTTGATTTTAAAAGCCATGCACAGCATCAACACTGATGCATTTCCTGGGAGTCTAGAATGTGATTCTCCTTTGATGCTTTAAGCCAAGTTTAGTTATATTAGTAAAAACAACTGTTTCTAATTGCTTTCCAAACTTTGAAAAGTTTTGTCAGATAACTGAGTGGTATATGATGTGCTGTCACTCTTAAGTCCCACCCATTGCTGCAGTTTTACACTGTTACAACTCAGGGGAAAGGTAAGAGTCAACCAAGTGATAAATGACACACAAAGGCAGCCTCACTCGATGCACAGATCTGATACGTTAGCCTGAAAAGTATATCAAATTCACCGACACTTGAAAAACACCAACCTAACTTCTGAAATGTAGCTCTTCCTATGTGGTTTGTATATTTGAAGAAAAATAAACTCAAGTTGAGCTGGAAACCAGCATAAAAGCCGGGTAAATCTCTAGAGCCTTTAAGTGCTTTAATTTCAGCCACTGGCAGAAAAAGGACAGAGCCGGGAGGATACAGAAGAAGGCACGCAGAGGTCTGGCAGAGCATCAGGGAGGACACAAGGTGAATGGATGCCTGCAGCAGCTTATGAGAACCGTAAGGGCTGGGTGAGTGCACTGGAGAGCCAAGAAGCAGCCAGAGCAGATCTGGGGCTGCAGAAGGATGCCAGAGGTTGGCCTTTTGGAACACGGCCACCAACACATTTGCAATTGCAAATCACGACTCCCTTAATGTCTTCTCCCCTTTCCAAGCACGCACACTGCTCCAGCCTATGCTTTCTGGACCAGGCCATCTAGTCTTACACGCTGAACTACAGAAAACAGTCAATAACGAGTGCAAAGCAATGAGCAATCCAGTATTGACGCATAAGGCATCCCACAGACTTCACGTGAGAAAAATCTTGAGTTCACCCATGTAAACACCTCCTGCTGCCTGCTCTCAGAGAGAGAAGGTTAGATGGACTTATCCAATAAGCCACCAAACTACCTGAAATACTCCCATCCACCCATAAAATAAGGCAGCGTCACACTGCTTCAGTCGGTAAAGGCTGGCTTCCTTGGCACGCTGTAAATCCTAACGAATGGAGCAGAAATACAGCCACCGGCAGGCTGCACGGCAGAGCCAGCCTGAGCAGCAAGTGTCTGAACCGCCTTCAATCTCATCAGGTACTTGGTAGTCTCAGAGCAATCTTCTGATCTGTGCTGAAAACCAAAGCAGCTAGAAGTAGACTATCAAATGTAAGGGAGCTAGGATAACCTTGTTACGAAATATGCTGAATTCTCTTCAGACACAGCTCAAGACTACTGACTCCGTTTGAAGTCCATGATTAGTAGACCCCAGCCAGAAATTTGTCACTAAGTCCGGGTAGAGCTTGGCAAGAGATGAAGAGACTCTTTTAGCCACCATACAATGCACCTGAGCCCCATCTAAATCTAGACATGGCCACAGTATAATAATGAAATACAGATTAAAACTATTCATAACAGGGCAGCATATGAGACAGAAATCGGCCTTACCACTGATAAAAATTTTCATCTTCTACAGACACACATTGACATACAGAATTAGCAGTGCTTACAAGATAACTGCCTGTGCCATCAGGTGGTTGGATCCCCTCTCTTCCACCCACAGTTCATCATGTCAGCAAGTAATTGTGCTCAATTAAAATCTCTTTGGAAATATGATCCCATAGAAATCATGCATGAGAGTTTAGTGTGTTTTG